ATTACACATTGAACTTGGTTTGATTCTTCGAAGAGATCTGATTGGTGCATATTTGTTGATATTTCAAGCTAATGAAATTAAAAATCTCTGGTAATAATATTATATACATTTTTCGAAAATATATAAAAATAAAAAAAGATTCATTGACAGCTATCGTTGTACTATCGATCAAAGTTTGGAAAAACTTGACTGCTGGCTTTGTTTTAATAATTGCCTAAATTCTTTTTAACTTCGAACAATAATTTCTCAACAGCAAAATCAGTAAAGTTTTTTTTATATTAAATCCATGAATCCATAGGAAAAAACTTTTATTGATTCTGAATATGCATGCAATACACGATTCTTACTGTAGTAGCCTATAAACATACCGCGATTAGCCAACTTCGATGATCATCGTTACGTGAATTATTAAACGATTAAGAGCAAAAAGGCGATTGAATTCATTTTTTAAAAAAATTTAAAATATTAGCCAAAAATTTCGGGTCGGGTTCGGTTCGGGTTGAAGCTCTAACTCGAAAATTGGCAGCCCAACCCGAAGTTTCGGGTCGGGTTCGGGTTGGCCCGACCCGTTTGGAGTACATACCGGGAAACAAGTTTCCTGATATGTGCACGATAGTCTGTAATAGATCCGCAACATATTGGTAAAATGCTATGAGGTAGATCAATAGTGGTAACATAACAGCAAAATGTTGGGATATCCTGGTCATAAGAGTAAGTTATTAATATTTTGCTGTTATGTTACCAATATCGATCTACCTCCCGATATTTTACCAATATGCTGATGATATATTGAAGGTACTTGGCAGATCTATGGCAGACTATCGGATACATTTCAGGAAACTTGTCTCCCGGTATGTACCCGATATTCATTGATTCAACCTGTGATTTTTGAGATAGCTTCCGTTTCTTCCGAAAATGTTCTCGTACTGCAGTTTAGGTTCATTGATCATCTATATCGGAATCTTCAAATTTGGTGAGCACCATATCAATTTTAAGTAATGATCTACGCATGGTATAAAATTTTTAATTAAAAAGTTCATTTGTAAATCTTTTTTTATTGAATGTATATCTATTAAAAAATCATAAAAAAATAAAATTAAAAAAATGTAAAAATGAGCTGTTTCTATTGACAGTCGCCCAATATTATTTATGATTTTTTTTGAACAATAAATATAGTGTCCTTTCGAACTAGAACTGACTTTTGATAATTAGTTATACATACTCAAGAAATGTAAATAAATTACCCGGGCAAGTAACTCAGATCTGTTGATCAGATCTACGTTTCGCATAAAAAGAATATTTGCTATATAAATGCTTCGAGCTTCTAACCAATAAGGATGTACATACGTATATCTAAAACCTTTGAAAACCAAAATTAAGCGCTTTATAAATCAACGATGGTTGAACAAATTGAAATTAAAGAACCCACAAATTTCGATGTAAAAATCAATGATATTGTAAAAAATTACACTGATAGAAACATTTATTTGTTGTTTTATGGTGAGATGAATCTTTCTTTCTTAAGCTTACATTAGTCAACAAGTGAAATTAAAATTAAAACATTTGTGTCCATAGGAGATTGGTGTCCTGATTGTAAAAATGCTAACCCTGTAATAAATCATTATCTCGGAAAGAAAACTAACAATGTGCTTATCAAGGTTTCTGTTGGCTCAAAAATTGAGTATGTTACGATTTATCTTGATTGTATCCAATTTCTTTTTTTTTGTTTTATTTTTTAATTTTCAATATCACAAAAAGTTATATATCTTGTCCGTACAAACGACACTCAAGAGTTCAACTCCGAAGAATTCCCACATTGATCAAATGGTCTGCTAATCAAGAAAATGACAAACATCTGGTAGAGCACCAGTGTAAGGATGAAAAATTGTTGACTAAATTTTTCTCTGTTTAGTTTTCTTTATACTGTACCGCATGTGCAGTGTTGGCAATTTTTTGTTCTATTAATAAAGATGCAAAGTAATTTATAACTTAAAAGCTTTATTTAAATGTAAAAAATATTTTAAGATTTAATCTTCTTTATAATTTATACTAACTTATTTCGGGTTTGTATAATTTTGTGAATTTTTGAATGGTGGATCTTTATAAAGAAAAAGAAATCACTCGAATGTTAGATGATTTCTGATTTATCCGCCAAATACAGTCAACTCTATCTATTCCGAACAGTCTGCTCTTATGTAAAATTGGTCAAAGAGTTTAATTCTCAAAGAGGTATTATATTACTAATCCGAACTTTATAATAAAATCTACAAATGTTCTAGAGATTTACGTTCGGTTTTCACAGAATTTATTAAGATTCAGATTAGAGAGGTTCGGGTTAGAGAGAGGTGACTGTATCTGCTGTATATCATATTAGCAGCATATTTGCAGCATATTGGTAAGATATCAAGAGGTAGATCGATACCGGTAATATGCCTTTTTTTCGACCTATTTCGTTTTTTAACCAATCAAATTCGTCTAAATATCAATCAAATTCGTGGTTTAATCAAATTAG